AATAATGGGAGCCTTCACCATTCTAAGATACACCAGTGCCCCCTGATATGTAAAATACAAAAGGACACTTACACCCCAAAAGAACATTACAGAGAAAATGACCAACAATAACGGAAAGGACCTAATCAAACCCAGATTCTTTACTAGAATGTATTAAAAATAATTTCAGTATTGTGTAATAGCCTCCACCTCCAACTCCATTCACCGAACTTTTACAAATTTCTATTGTTTACTTCGCCTCTCAAATATCGTGGAATCGGGTATAGCTAAATAACAAAGTTTTTCGTTAACTGTTTATACCAACGAATGTTGTTTGAGATTTCTCGCACATTTAAGTCGAACAGAATCGTCTCAGTTAGTACAGTAACCTGGCGATAAGCTGGACGATTAGGGTTCGATTCCCGCCGTGCCAATTATCATGCAGACCGGTTCTGGATCAACCTAATCTCGCATGGAATGTATGTCGGTGGCCCAGGCGGTCTGAGTATCACCATTCTCCACCATCTAGATCTTTACATCCACGCGCCTTACCCAAAGACAATTTGCGTTAATTTTTAATTTTATTTCGTATTTACTATCCCCTATAGAGGAAAAAACTACTTCCAGAGCCATAATTATGTATAAAACGACATATTAAAATATCTGAGGATGAAGTGACAGTGATCCAGAGGTAAAGTACAGTCAACTGAGTAATGGCATAATCGTTCCCTAAATTTGTGACTTGTTCACTTAAAAGTGAAGGATATTTTTTCTAGTTTATCCGTCCGTTGAAGAAATTCTCAGTTTAAAGCTCGTATGAGACCCGAGGACTCACTTTTATGTTCACAGTCGTTCGCCACTGAAACTAATCCACAACCTCGCCCCTTATTCGGTGTTCTTCAAGCTCTAGTGTGAGCGTAGAAGACCTTATTTCTCCATCCATGTGTCCTTCTGTCTGTCACAATTTTCCTACGTGACCAAGGTCGTTGTTGTTCATCAATGGGGAGATCTCATTGTTTGAGCACTTGCGCAACAATGACCTAGGGTCACATAAATGCAACAGTGACTTACGTGATGTAGTGTAAAGAACACATTTTGAATGTCAGTCTTCCAGTAGTCTTTCTCAGAGATTAACTATATTATCCTTCCATTTCCGGTTCAATACCCTTGATTTCAACAGCGAAAATGCAGCCCTCTGTTAATGCATCATGAATCCCATCTGTATTAAGAGGTGCCTTTTCAAAATATGTGTAAGAGAAAGAGTCACGGCTCTTAGCAAACAAGCTTTTCAAACTGACAGGAATGCACTAATCTAATTAAAGATCTCACAGGAAAAGAACCGGAAACGGCACAAAGGCGCCATCGCACGGCGCATTAACGAACTTTGTTTCCGAAATGTCCGCGTTCCCTGAGGTGCCATACGTCCGGGCGTAATGGCCCCCGGCCCACAGAACTTCTCCCCTGTCCCTAGACACTCATCAGCTAGGCTGCAGATTCGCTAGATTTAACTTATCTCTCCGGTCGGTCGCCAGGCGGTGCCAGGGGCCGGTAATGAATGCGACGCGAAACAAAACAGTGCCGGCGCAAACTGCGAACCTCGTCAATGCCGGTTCAATTCTCAGACAAGAAAAAGTATCTGGCCACAATAAAAGAACTCTTTGTTGAAGTTAGATTTAAGTAGACCCACTGAATTGTGACTAAAACGTTTAGCTGAACTAACTGGTAAAATTGCATGAAACAAGAGTTCTTCAGAAGCTAATAGTTGCTTAGCTAGTATAAAGAATGTATGTCTTTTATAGAACCTGATAGTTCATTACCATCTTTATAAATTCCCACCTATCCTGGGCTAAATTAATCCAGTCCATAACCTCCCACTCAATTTCCTTAAGATCTACTTTAATATTATCCTGGAACCTCAGCCTGGATCATCCAAGTCGTTTCTTCCCTTCAAGTCACAACCACAATTCTGTAAGAGCTTTTCATCTTCCTATGCGTGCTACATGCACCGAGAGTCGCATCCCTGTAGATTTCATTACTACAACGACCCTAACCGTATTTGGTGAAGATTACAAATTATGCATCTGCTCACAAAACAACCACCTCTATCCTCCCGGGTTTTTCTCATCCCTCTTTGGTCCAAACATTTTCTTCAGTCCCCTGTTCTCAAACATCATCAATATATATTTTTCCTTAATGTAAAAGACCAAGTTTTACGCTCATGTAAAATTGTAAAGTAAAGTAAAGCTGTCCCACTATACGCCATGTAGGCGTTTGGGGGGAGTGGAGGTATAGCTCCTCTCTTCCTTGACCTCGGCACTAGATGGGGGTGAGTGGTCAGCATCACGCCCCGGCCGGCTTTACCCCCGGGAAAGGACCCCGGTACCCATTGTAGAGGAGGCTGGGTGGGCCCCAGAGCCGGTCTGGACGCAGAGACTAGAGGAAAAATCCTCTGTCCCCGTCCGGCATCGAACCCCGGTAGCCCAGTCTGTAGCCAGTCACTATACTGACTGAGCCACGCCGTAGTTCGGTTTAATTTATGCTTTTCGACAGCAGGCGACAAGTCAAACACATGCAGATTTTATCCCAAAATGTTAAGTTACGTTTGATTTTATTAAAACTGAACATTGAATTTAAATTACTCAGGAAAATTTCAACTGTGGAGGGTGTGGTGACAAACTGTTGGGGTGCATAACAGCTGATAAACTAAAAAAACCCCGTAGGTCAGTTCTTATGTTAATTCCAACACGTCTGTACTAGGGTTTGTAGTGAGCGGCCACAGTCCGCTTTGCTTCACTAGGCCCCTTCGAGGGGAAATGGACCTTGGATTAGTGAGTGGGGCAGTAGAAACAGTTTCTCTGGTTCTACTAGACCCGGAGGTTGATAATTGTGTTCATAAGAGCCCACATTGTAATTTGTCTTCTGCCAGCTGAATCCAGTTCAGACCTCACCAATATATTTGCAAATTATATTTAGTACTGTCTTCAAATATACGTTTGTGTCTTCCAAGTGCTGCCTTTGCATGACGTTTTCCCAGAAAGAATTTTGTGTGTATTTCTGATATCCCTACGTGAGGTACATTTTCGCACATACCATATTTTAATACTCTAGCACGATAATAATAGGTAAAATGAAAAGAGTATAAATTGTAACCGGGTCCACCCATGTTCATTCTGCCGTAACGTCTAACGCAACAACGGATTCCGAGGTTAAAGTGAAGACGAGAGGGCGGGCCATTCTGGCAAAACCCACACTTGTCCTGGTGTTGTAACGCGATATCCTTTGACATTCGTTGGGAAGCCGAAAGCAACATCTTCCGCTCGTGTCCAATGTAATTCAGGACCCATGCAGCCTATTGCGTTCCCGCAAAGCAAAAGCGATTCACATCCTGTTCTGCTAAAGATTGCGTGGAACTTTCCTTTCCAGACCCTACACACTAGCACGGCACTAAAGTTAGAAACAGGCATGACTTTAACTGTACCTAAAAACATTCGCACATGACAACTCCGAATTTTTAGAAAGGCCTATAGTGGCCTGTACTAGCCGTCAACAAATTGCATGCGTCAAGGTCGCAGCAAAATTCTATAAAGTTACAACACGAACAGCGGAGCCCAGACGAGTGAAGACGGTTCAGAACCCGCTTCGTAGCAAAGCTAGCACGCTACACTGTCAACTAAGGGCCGCGTTAATGGGAGGGGGGGTGTCCTTCCGTGGCCTTAAAGCATGCAATTTGATGACGGCTACTGTCGTCAAAACTTCGCACAGAAATACATCACTACTTCATCTAAACATTGATTCATAATTCTCCATACTGTTTATACAGGCCCATATAACTGCTTGTTCTTTAAGGTAACATCTCGGAGAATGTGAGCGAATCAGAGCTTCAGGTACAATGTTTGGACTGATACGAACGAAAGTTAAATTTAAGATGGCTGTCTTCTGGGTTGTCATCTGGTTGGGTCGAGCGATGACTCATCATCCGGATGATGGAAACAGCAATGACCCCTGAATCGTTGGTAACTTTCTACAATTATACACGGCGCTATAACCCAGGAGACAAACCATCTTCGTACTCTCAGCCGCGAGAATCACAAACCCGACTAAAATTAAAATGACTTAACGAAACACCAAAAGAATGAAACTTAACTGAAAGATTTCTGTGATTAAACAAACGAACCAACAGACGGGCAGACACGTCACCCGACCTCATTATGCAAGGAATACCGATGTGAGCACTGCCAGAATACAAATCAGACCTGTTGTTACTGAACTAATTTTCTGTGTTTAGTAGCCGATCTGGTGCTAGGCCTAATTGTTAGCACGCAGTCAGAAATTACAGATGAAATGAAAGACGAAAAGTAACTTTCTGAGAATTGAGTTTCTCGTGTCCTTTCAACCACACAGATGGATGTAATACGTTCCTCCGAATCATTGGATACCAACCACCCAGGCTAACAGAACGGCATCACAACCCAAAAGTAGCCTTCTCGAACTCAGGTCCTCGGGAATGTGAAATTTGTCAATCGGTGAGGATGTACGCTGAAGACATGTGAAGTGATAGGACCCACAACCTAACGATGTACGAATGTAATTTGATTTGAAAGTCGCTCATTTAGTTCACAACTCTCCGAGATGGCAGTAGTAATCACCTTGCGATCGTTTTGCCATCTATAGTCCCTTTCGGCAATCACTTCTTCATCTGATCAATGTATGGCAGATAACCTAAAATAGTTAGCTATTGTCATTGATGCCATCCAATATCATTAATGAAATTCGTTTGGACAAAATTAGTGTTAAAATAGAATCTTCTTCATTTCTCCAAGTCTTACATTTCAAGAGCAATTTCTGACGTAAAAATTTATAACAAATTAAATGGCTAAGAACAACAATTCTCAATAATTGTCAAGCCTACCTCGTTCAATTTTAACACAGCTTTGTCTGTAAGATCTTAAACAAAGAGAAATAATAAACTAGAGCTACTGTTTGTTAGCAAAATAAAAACAATTATAATTAAAAAATCTAACCTTTGTGATGGCACGTCTTCCTGTGTATCATATTCCCCTCAAATTGTAGATTTACACCATGAAACTGAACTGTAGTCTTCATAACTGCTTCTTTCTTAGTATCACTTAACTATAAAACAGTTTCCTTCACCAATTACAGTTTACCGTAGATGCACTAACGATGTTAATATAATCACATTGTAATTGTTTGTTCTATATGCCCCTTTCAGCAAACAAGACTAAACAGCTAAGGAAACGATATTTCTGAACAAGGTAAGAATTTTCAAGATCGGGTTGTATAAGATATCCCCTCAACCAGCGAATAAAGGGATATTTATCTTTCATATACTCTAAATTTCCCTATCGTATTTATTTACTTTCCTGCGTTCATGTGTAGTGCGCGTATTCTTCTCTGATATCTGTAATATAAGTTACGAAGTTAGCATATAATGAGTTTTATCATTAATTTCATAAGGAAAATATTACAAACTATGTTGCAGTTAGTGTCAGTTGGTAAACGTACGATATCAAACTCTTTGAATGTATACATCAAAACGAATACGGGATGTACGCTGTCAGTTGATCTAGACCCGAAATGGTATATTAAAGATGTAAAGGAGCTGGTTGCACCACGGTTGGGATTATCACCTGAAGAAGTTAAAATCATTTTCGCAGGAAAAGAACTCCATGATTCAATCGTTATAGAGGTATGTTAAGTTAACCCTTCAAAGGTTAGAAGTAACTACAGGTGTCCCAAAAAAGATGTGTACACAGCAGAAACTTTGATGGCCGCTTGTCACTCAGTTGCTCACAGCTGTGAACTGTGCAACAAAGCTAACGGTGGTTATTTTTAACACCTACACTAGATTCGCTTCTTCACTAAGTGTCAATGGTGATGTATGTAATGGTTTAGTTTATTTCATTCATTGCGTTTGTGTGTGTATATAACTTTTCAGGACAGCCTGCATGAATACCAACTGTCATTAAATACATAACATAATGTCTCAGTTTGTTATGGTTTTCATATGATTTCAGAATAAAGAGCAATGAATATGACTGTGATGAAGATGTCATGTGTTTTCTTTGAAGAAAGAACAGCGTGTTTAGATATTATTTACATTAGTTTTGTCATATAAAATATTTCTTTACCTACTCCAAGAAAAGTCTTTAATGAAAGCTGTTGCACAACAGTTTCTTACAAACACTGTAAACCAGTGTGTTATTACATTGATTGACAAACATATTGGTTATGGTGTATTAAAAGAATTAATTCAAATTATTAATAAAGTAATAATACACATGTAAGGGAAATGTTAGGGGAATCCTTTATTTGCTAGACAGTTGGCTATAGGCAGTATGTATCCAGAAGGTTTTGTGACTGCCAATATTGACTGCAGTGTATATTAAAGCAAATGCTGAAATTGTTTCCAAGATCCAGGTTGTTACTGTATACTTATCTTGCAACTGCTGCTATTTATATTCAACAACATTACTACCTTACTATGGAGGCCATCAAGTTACTAATGTTTCTATGTTGTCCATCTTCAATTACATTCTTCTTTCTTTTTTTTTAAAAAAAGGGGGGGGGGGGGGGTTAAGCTTGGGCATCTTATAAGAAAGTGCTGATCTTTCTCCCACTGAAGAAGAGTGTAATTTCTCACTGTGCTTTACTTTCCTCTTTCTCTTTTGCTGTCTTTCCAAACTCTTTCTATTTATCATTTAATTGATTAAAGAGCATGATTTTCTTATGTTATTTTAATCGATCAGCAACTAATGCTTTGCGCCATATGCTAGTAAATGCAGTCCATTAAATTTTCTCAGATTTGACTGGGATATAACATAATCACACTTCATGTACATTGTCAGTAACTTTGGTTCAAACAGGCTGGTAATATCTGAAATTGCCTTCTTTCATAATATTCATTGTTTAATGTAGTGATATATACCTGTCATGATGATAAAACAGGAAGTTAAAATAAACAAGTCAGCAGACAATGTGATTGGTATTGTGATAACATTTCATTTTAGTTGAGGAGGTACCATCTTGAAAGTAAAATTGCTCTGCTGTGTCATACGATGATACTGTGTGAAGTCTGAATCATTTATAGTAGAAGCACTTATATAGGATTGATAGATAGCATTGTTCATTAAACAATTGAACCAAGTTTATGTTCACCTGAGCCAAGTGCTACCAAGCATTAAGACGTATGGGTTAACTCTTTTATTTCGCATCTGAGAAGTATTCAATTAGAGTCCCAGCAAGAGGACCAACTGTCCTGTCCTTTTGTTCATGTTGTTCTAGAAAAATATTGTGATAGTTCTTTAAAGACAAATATGAATATCTTCAATATTTATATTCGTCGTGTCAGTTCTAATTTGATGTCATAAAACCAATGGGGTTGGTAAGAGCCATTGAGTGAAATAACTACATTTTCATATAGTAAATACAGCATCATCAAAGAGACTATGAACCAACTAGCAACATAAATTTTCACTCAGTAACTTGGTAATTTGTACAGGAGTAACATGTATGGTGTTGCCACCCATATGACTATACTATTTACAGGTCACGTAGGTCACCTAAAAGTCCAAAATTTTACATATATACACTTACTGATCACCATGAGAGTAAGTTAGTTAATCATTCAGTAAGAAAGGTTCAGTCTTTCCGTCTGTTAATCTGTTCTTGAATTCATTTGCCTTAGACGCCAGCTCTTTCAGTTACTGTCACAGTTAAATAAAGAATGGCATTGAAGTGACTGTTCTGAGGACCAGTGTGGTGTGGAATGTGTTCCAAACAAACTTTTATAGTGACACTTTTCAGGAGTGTGATCTGGGCCAGCAGAGTATTCTGCACGCTGTGAGATCCCATGCTTCCCACAGGAAGAAGCCTGGATCAGAGTCTCCTAGTGAGGGCTCAAAGCCTCTCAATGAGACACTCATGGACCTCCAGTTGAGTGACCATGAGCGTCGCAGTGTCAGGACTGATGAAGGTAAGTAGTATTTATGATGCATAATCATTATAGACAGAAAGTATTTAAATTAATTGCCAAAGGTAGTTCAGAGGGCTAGCCAGTTGAATAATGGTTTACTGCCCTGGGAATACTCTGTACAGTGGTGTTACATACTTAATTCTTCTGCTTTCAGATCGCGAGAGAAAGCGTGCACACTTCTATGTATACTGTGCATGGCCTTGTAAAGAGATGAAACTTGGCAAGCTGCGTGTGCGCTGCGCATCTTGTCGGAGTGGTGCCTTTACTGTGGACAGGGATCCACAGTGTTGGGATGATGTCTTAGAAGGTAGAAGAATCACTGGTGATTGTCAGAATGATAGCTGTGTAAGTGAACCTTTGCTGCAATACTGCTACAAGATACCATTTACTTTCTAACTTTTTTGCATAATTTTATTTTTACATCAAAATAAGTGTGGCACAGTTACGTGTAGTTTCCTCCTTGAAACTTTCATAACATCTGCCTGCTGTGAAGTCTTCTTAGGCAATCAGTCACATGAGAATGAAGTTAATGGCCAGTATTTCAGAGATTGTTTCTGCCACCATTATGAGGGGTTGGTGAGTTGAGCAACACTACTACCTAAAATTATTCATTGTTAGGACATTTTCCATCGTCTCTTCTTTAAAACCATGACGTTTCAGAGGCTGGTTCTGTCTCCGTCTTCAGGTGAGAGGTACCTACCTACTGTTGGGTCCCTTAGATAGAGCTGGTCTCTGCCACTGGTCTCCGAAACGTCGTGGTTTTAAAGAACAGACGATGGAAAAAGTCCTGACAATGAATAATTTTAAGTGTAAACTATCGGCATCAAAACCCTTTAGAATTGTACTACCACCTGTTGTATTTCTACCCATACTCAGGTCTCGGAGTCCAGTGTGGAGTCAGGTGCGTCACACAATCCTTATTGCTTATCCTGGACTGTCCAGATGATAGCTGTCATGAATTTTTCTTTTCCTGTATTTTGAAGGCCCTTCTTCATCAGAGTATGTTGATAGCTGGACTTCTGTGGTTCTTCCTTGCCATGGGCACAGGCCACAAATGTGTCATCAACATGTCTGTACCAGCAGGGAATTTGTAATTTTACTAAATTTTACTTTGCATTGTGTTGCTAACGTTGAAAGCACACATTGTACTTTTAACCCCACTGATGGTAGCTGCTGATAAAGTGAACACTTGGTTATAGTGTTAGACCAGAATCATCTCGAATTGTGTGAAAATTCTTGCTAGCTTATCTCTTTCATGTGACCAAGAGGGTTATCAAGTGACAGCTGTGAGTCATTGACTAGATTATAACTTTTAAAATTGTTCTAGATTGGGAGTGATGATGGACCAAAATTTGCAGAGTTCTACTTCAAATGTTTTGAACACACATCACAGGGAGAAGATGACCAGGCTGTGCCATTATATCTTATCAAGTCAAATGTGCGAGATGTTCCTTGCCTCGCATGCACTGATGTCAGGTAAAAATATGCTAAAATAATGCAAATTTTCAGCTGTTGTTCACATACAGTTTAGAGTTTGAAACAAAGTGTCAGTTGCCATTGCATGTCCCCAATGTAGGAAAATGCCACCATAAAATCACAAGGAAAAAATGAGCAGCGACTGATATCATACGGCACTGTCATATAGGAGCATGCACTAGTGTCTTCTTGTACCCTAGATCAACCAAATCTCAGAAGTAATCTGATGGTGCATGTTGCACCACCATTTAAAAAACACTTTCAGAAGAATTTTTGGTTACTGGAAGTGTTGATAACTTACTAATGGAGCTTACTTTGATGATCGTACAGGATATATAAATTTTGTTGCTTGTAGCATTCTATCAGAGAAAATCTGCTACATTGATAAAACTCTTCTCTGATCTTCATGTGGTCATCACATACCTGCATCACCATTCTTGGTACGATGTGTTATTAGAAACAGTGCTTCTGATTCATATAGCAGATAGTAGATGGATGGCAACTACCATCTGCATTTATCTTTTCTGTATCATGATGCTTGGTGTATGAGACATCCTTGCGCAGTTTTGCAGACTGTTCACTGCACCCATTATCTATCAACAATCAAAAATTATCCTTCAAGCATCTTGAATCAGGACATCTTTCTTCACCAAACAGTCTGAAATATCTGCAGAATATCCATCACTTAACTTTCCTAATTGCTGGCAAAATTCATATGTCCCTTCACTGTGGAAAATGATCCAATTCCTCACTTGGAAACCTTTCACACACACTGTTTTATTCTGAGTTGTGTAATCATTCTAGTCTGAGAAACTGAACAGTCACACTATCTATATGTATAGACACATGTTACATTATACACTAGCAAATCCAGAGTACAAATAGTCTTAATTGTTTAAGTTTGGCAAGAAATATTTCTTTCACTAATGTTCTTAACTAACTAACTAGCTGGCTTACCGAAACCGAAGATTCATCACCGAATTAACCAAAGCCCTCCACTGGACCGTCCTGAGCTTGACTAATGTTCTTACAAAGCAAAATATTCAGAGCAGAAGGGTGAGCGTGTTTAAGTAACATTTTGTGCATAACATTAAAAATATAAGCCTGCTATATAAAAGCATGTTCCAAGTTACCATACATAATAGAATGATTCTTCACCTCTAATTTTGAGTTGGAAGGGAAAAGGTCATTTTTCTTGCCACATAATTTCCGTTAGGTTCCTCTCTCAAAGTGGGATGGGAGGCATGCTCCATAGAGTGTTCAGTTTATTTTCAAACATTTCCTTGCAACATTAGAGCTCATTGACTGACTACAAGAGCAAAAGTATTGTTGGAGAGGTAATTATATCACATTGCATAGTGTCAGGAAAGTTTTCTCCATATGTTTCATTAACTGTTTACCACATCAGGAGTGTTTCACACTTAATGAGCCCTTTATGTTTGGATGAAGAGCTGTTTTTGAGAACTTTGATAAAGTTGTGTTTCAGCATCATGTAAATTTGTTTGGATTGTAATTGACCAGTATATATCAAAATTAAATTTGCTTGGCAACTTTTAATGCGATTCCCAGTACTAAGTTAGCAGAATCACGGACTGGCAGACTGATCCTCTGTATTGTGCATTACTTTTGTGTATGTGCGTTTTGCAATACAACAAATAAAGTGGGGACAGTTATTATTTTGCTGATGCTTCATATTGTGTGATGTGTGATAAGTTCAACCAGTCAGTGCACTTCACCTTTGACCTGTCATTGTATTCCTTGCTTTCAGTGACCCTGTGCTGGTGTTTCCGTGCGACTTGGCACACGTCACGTGCCTAGAGTGCTTCCGAGCATACTGTGTTGCTCGACTCCGGGACCGTCAATTCTGGTCGCATCCAGAGCATGGCTACACGCTGCCCTGCCCGGCAGGTTGCAAGGACTCCCTCATTACAGAGGTGCACCACTTCCGACTGCTCACCCCTGCTCAGGTTAGTGTAGGATGCATCTGTACAGTGGCTAGTAATCCTTTGTGATGTTGCCTTACATCAAGATGACTTGTGATTGATTTTTATTACTTATTTTTTGTGTTTGTCTGCTCTTCCCTCCCCACAAATGACTTCTGAACTAACTGATGCAGTATCAAAATTTTAGTGCTGAAATAATGCTTTTTAATTACTAACTATCAATTATACCAACAAAATATGAAGTTCTGAGGAGGGAGTGACAGTAGTACCAATTAAGGAAGGGTCCTGAAATTTTGTGATCATAAATGTTTGAAAAATATTAAACTTTTTCTATTTTTGCTTTTTGTGTGTAGAATGTGACTATCCTTCACTTTGTGGCACAGATTTTTGAATTTGGTCCTTGTGCAGTCTGTTATGCAAATGTTTGGTTCCCTTGAATTACACTACATTGAAGTCTGCATTCGTAAACTGTTCGGTGTTACAGTATGCACAGTACCAGAGGTTTGCAACAGAGGAGTATGTTCTTCAGGCAGGTGGGGTGTTCTGCCCTCAGCCAGGGTGTGGCATGGGCATCATTGCTGAGCCAGAGTGTCGAAGGATCACGTGTACCAACGGCTGTGGCGTGAGTGCTCCTCTAATTTGTCTTGTGCCCTATGAAAGTTACAATGATGGTGTTGTTATTGTTGTGAAGAGGATTTACTACATTTGTATTGAACTGCAGCCACTGATGAGCCCTATGGTGACTTTTGTGTGTTCCCTGCATGAAGTGCATAAAATAAATCGAAAAACGTGGGAAATCGTCCAAAAAACGCACAAAACCAAAAATTTTTGAAAAATTCTGAATTCAACATTTTTGTCGAAAATTTCGAAAATCTTTAGTTTTCTTCGCGTTTCATGCCATTTGCAGCCACTTTTAATTTTTTAAAATTTGGACAATTTTTGAAAATCTTGAGAAATTTCAATTTTTTCGAAAATTTTCAAAAAATTGAAAAACGTGGGAAATCGTCCAAAAAACGCACAAAACCAAAATTTTTTGAAAAATTCTGAATTCAAAATTTTTGTCGAAAATTTCGAAAATCTTTAGTTTTCTTCGCGTTTCATGCCATTTGCAGCCACTTTTAATTTTTTAAAATTTCGACAATTTTTGTATATCTCCAAAACTACTCTCCAGATTTTTGCTGAATTTTGTTATTGGGGTCTGTGGTAAAGTTATGCAGATTTTATTTTGATCTGTAGCAGTCCATTGTAAAGGCAACTTTACATGAAGCTGAAATTGAAGTTTGTATCACACATTAACTGAACATGAAGCTTTACTGTAGCTAACATGCCCTTCTGTTACAGTTTGTATTCTGCCGCCAGTGCCTGCAGGGTTACCATCTGGGAGAGTGTGTTCATGAGGGTGATGGCAGTGGAACCAGTGCATCCACAGGAGACTGTCAGTACAATGTGGATCCAGGCCGTGCAGCTCAGGTACATTTCAGCATGCGACTGTGTCACAAATGATGAAGTACTAACGTCAAATGCCAACGTTGAACTGAATCTTAAGCCAGTCCATTTCAGTGCACTTTACAAAAAAACAGTTTCTCCAAGTTCCATTTTAATGTTATTTTTCTGTTCCTCTCTTTGATCTCTAAACTGATAATTCTCAAAGATGTTTTCCTATCAAAATCCTATGTAGAATGTTCATGTGAAAATATGGCCTAATGTGGAACAGGCTTTCCAAGGATGTACAGGCAGGACTCGGTTTACGCAGCTTCAATTTACGCCCACTTCTCTTTTGCGCCTCTCATAGATCACGATTGGAGGGGGTGATGAGTCATGACTCAGCCCGACATTGTAATAAAACTTACATTGTAATAAAACTATAATACTAAATGATAAACTGCGGCATAAAATTTACATAATTAAACAAAAGGAGAATATAAAATGCGATGAGATCTTCTGTAGCAACGACCCCAACTGGGACTGGAGCTCAACCGTTAAGAGAGGAATTGAGACAGTTCTACAGCCATACTATAACTTATTATTAGAAAAGAAGAAAACCAAACAGACATTTATTCTATTGTTTCTAAAGCAGTAATTTTTCTTTCTTTTACTTAAACATTATACAATTATCAATATGTAAATTTTATAGAATAAAACATTCTTCAAGTGTTTTTTGTTGATTACTGAAAATCTTGGAACGGAACCTAGTGTATTTACATATGTTCCCATTATATTTTTGCTTCAGTTTATGCCGGAAATCTCGGGAACCTAACCCCGGCGTAAACCGAGTCCTACCTGTATTGCATTTTAAACACATGCCTGCTGTAGGTGTTATCAGTGAAATGTTGGTCTAATCAAGTCTGTGTTATTAACACGCATCTTTATTTCATTCCATGGATAATATAGTTAGCTAGATGACAATAGGATGTGGCATAAGTTATAATAATACAGAATAATTACAATTTATGCTATTATGAAGATTTCACATAATATATGCAAAGGGTTCACATAAAGTAGTGATGAGTTACAAATAAATCCTCCCATTACCTTAATCTGTAGCATATCAGTCCTTGTAAGTAACAGAACTGTCCTGTTCAGGCCCGGTGGGATGAGGCAACCAAGGTGGCCATAAAAGTGACGACAAAACCCTGTCCCAAGTGTCGTACCCCAACAGAGCGAGCTGGTGAGTGTTTTGTAATACATTAGTTTCATTGCAGGACAGTCTTAAATCAGAGATGAAGTCCTGAAGTCAGAATCTTAAAAAATACATTTAAATGAACGGGAAGTTAATAACTTTCTTCGTTTGCCCAAATAGTGTATCTGCGCACACTTGCTTGTTCTGCATCTTTGTGTTATTCTTTCTCAGATGTTTCCACTTGTAAGTGGGTTGTCTGACAACCAAATCTCTCCATCTGTCTCTCTTCCCATGGTTTTCCTTCTGTTTGACATCTCTCCAAACTTTTGTCCTCGGCTCGATCTTGGTCTCTTTCTTTGGTGTTTTCATTTTACCTTCCTGTTCTTCCGACTTCTAGGTTCTTTGGAATTCTCTCCTTGTTTCTTTTTAAAATATGTCCAAACTATAATTGAACTCTGATTGCCAATGTAATTCCCAACCACATTATTTTAGTAATATTTATTGTATATTTACATATGTAAGTTTTTTGTTTCTCATCACTGCTTGAGCACGCTGACATCTGCTGACGTGTTACTGTACGATTGACTAGCATGGCAGGGAAAGGAAGACAAAAATATAGGGTAAAAGTGAAACAACAACAAGTTGTGATGTTGGAGATGTGGCAGAATAGCTACAGATCTGATGGAGAACATTATTATTTTATTACTATGCAACATGGCACCAATGTAGTATGTATTCACTGTACCCGTACTCTGTATAGGCGGCATACTGAGAATTTACATTTACATCCTTGCTAGTATTCCCTTGGTTTAATTTCAAAACTCATGTGCAAGTATCGCCAGACTGATGTGTGCACCCCTTGAACATATGTGTTTGTGGTTAGACTTGATTTCATTTACAGTGGAGCTGAAACCCAGGGCCATCACAGATTAACAGATGTGCAGTCCTTATTCTGATATCCTCTATACATTAGTCAGTCTTGTGTCTTATGGAACCTTAATGTACTTAAATTGTGATGGTATTTTTCACCAATCTTTTCCTCATACTTAAATTAGTCGAATATGTGTTATGAGTGTATAGATGCTTTTAAGGAGGCCATGAAGAGATTAACAAATGACAAGTTAAAAATATATTAAAATTGGCCGTCAATCACAATATAAGATAATTAAAAGATTAAAATATCATTTTTCGTTCCTTATCGAGTACTCGATTTACATGTGGAATATCTTATAAATGACAAGTTTTTAGTTTTGCACAGTTATTTGCAGTTATGCCAACAGAGCAACATGTGTTTGATGTGTACAGGTGGCTGTATGCACATGGTCTGCACACGTCCTCAGTGCAACTTCCACTGGTGCTGGGTCTGCCAGACAGAGTGGTCCCGTGACTGTATGGGCAGCCATTGGTTTGGCTAGACATGCACAGAATGTTCAAAAGAAAACCTGGATTCTTATGTGTCCTGACTGTTTGAATATTGTTCCTGAAATCAATATTTTTATGGTTCCTTTGGTGGTCACATGAAAACTGAAGAAACTGAATACATAATGTCCACTGTAAAAAATGTACCGTGTATTAATTATAAATAAATTAATTTATGGAAAACTTGTGATGGTGAGAAGATCACCTGAGGACTGGAAAAACTATAATCATCTCTTTTTAAAAAGCAGATAAAAGAGCATTACAAAAATTACAGAGAAATTACACTGTTGAGCCACTGTTTAAAGTATATGAATTATAAATTTGAAACTGAAGACAGGTTGGAAATAAATTAGGGAAGGACATTGTGATTTTTGAGATAATTGATCAACATCTGATTTAATTTTTACTCTGAGATAGCTAATAAGAAAGAAATGGGAATTTAGAAAAGACAGATATTTAACTCTATTGGCACCGGAAAGGCATGTGACATTGTAACACGAGAAATTTGGAAGGTGTTACACAGAGCAAATGTTTAAAAAATACTGTTATCTAGAATTAAGAATATTTTTGATAAAGGTGAAAACAGCATAAAATCTGAATGTTTCCAAATGTTTAGAGGGGTCAAACAGGGAAGTATTTAGCAGTAAAATCTCAGTATGGTGAAAATATTGTCTATCTCCTACCAAAGTACCTTATACGCTTATGTTAAAATATTTTCCAGTAATGAATATTTGTTTATTATAAGAACACTATGTGGACACTTTTTTTTTCATATCCAATACACACCACTCAGCATGGTGTGCATTGGTGGTAAGCAGGATTCACGACCCATCAGTACATGGGTTCAACCAGGACCCCGACATTTAACACTCCTGCTGTGACCCCCTTTTTGCGAAATGATGGTGAAGGTGGAGTAATCGTTGGGATGCCACGGAGAAACCGGGGAAACCCCGGATGAAAACTCCGTGATGCCTGGACCACGGCCTTGCCCAACACAAGTTGTAAATCTGAGCACCGCTGCGAATCGAACCCGGGACCCCAGTATTACAAGCCCAGTGTTCTAACCGCTATAACACCGTGATGGTTATGTAGACACTGTCTGAGGTGTATTTGATATACATGACTTTTCAGGAGTTGTCGTACTCCCATCTTCAGTTGATTGGTTATAATTGTACTGACACTTTTTTTTGTATTATTTATGACAGCAGTTGGCATCAGACCTGGAATAATTTTGAATATTAGTCTAGTTTGCTATCCACTAAACCTAAGTGGCCAATAAAAGTTCCGTTTGGATCTTTCTACTACGGAATAGGAAAAGTTAATGTGTAACACAAGTGGAGTTATAACTACAATCATTTCTGCATGTGGTCTAGTGGTTAGTGAACCAGCCTTGTGTTAGGAAAGTTCCAGGTTCAGTCCCAGTTGTTGTTACTAATAATATAAAAAATTAATGTCAGTATAATGACATCCATTAGCCTGAATATGATAATAGAGCCAACTCCGAAAATGCCAAGCAAATCAGATCAGAAAATCATATATATATCTTAGACAATGGACAGCGTCTGACATTGTTTTTTTTTGTAATGAATCAATGATCACTGTCACAAACCTAGAGAATGAAACATCCCCATTCAATGAAAAATTGTTGAGTTTGACAATTGCTTCATAGTATTATTTAGAATTATATTTCATAAAACATGCTTTATGTGTCACAAGCATACAAATCTCTGCATATACTGTAATGTAGTATATCACTTTAGCAAATTATAAGAGGGGTCCTCAGTGGCCGCGCGGTCGCTGGGACCATGGGTTCGAATTCCACTCAAACCATGGATGTTTGTCAGCATTTTTCTGTGTTGTGCTGTCCTGTGTAGAGGTAGTGGCCTTGCGACGGGCCGATCCCTCGTCCAAGGAGTCCTACCGAATGTCTATAGATCAAGCCAACGAAAAGTTGACCCTGTCTTGGGCCAACAAAATCCAGTTTCCTTCAACTCCTGTGTCCCATAGATCCCGCCTGATATTTTCCTCCCATCTACGTCTAGGTCTCCCCAGCGTCATGAACTGTTTCGTAAACTGAGAGTTGCCTGTGCTGTGAAGACATAATGAGCCAATGCGTAGTATTTTATTCACCAACTCTATCAGCCTGCTGCCGAAGTTAAGTTCAGTAGTTAGACGCCTTTCTGTTAGCAAGCGCCTTAATAAAGGAATAAATCGCAAATGTTGTCATTATCATTATCATTGTTTAGTAAAGTTGAATTTCTGCATTATCTGATTTCTTTATACAAAGGTACCACTGGTATTTTTTATCTTTGGTCTTTCATAGCATAGATGAACTCTTGACGGGGACACCAACCTAAAGAAAATCGATGTTGGAGAACTAGTATCACAGATCTAACATATAAATATTAAGCCAGTGGATCCAGTCAATTTATAGTTGATTCACTACATATTATTAAATTACGGGGTTTTCTCCATATAACTGTCACGATTGTATACATATATCACATGAAGTTCTCTTCTCAGTTTCGTGAACAGCAATTTTGTCGATTTTTTTATTTAAGTAAAGCCACAGACCCCTGTGTTGCAAACATCGCTTGAAATCACTAAAAGTGTTTTATTCGGGAAGATACGGTGAGTAGTTCACTATGCTCAGATGAATGCGAAGGTATTATCTTTTCGTTAACATCTTTCACCAGATGCGCTACAATTTTACAAATGGTGGATGAACTTCAAAATTATTTATACGAGAATTACAATGGAGAATGTCTGCTTGTTTTTCTCGAAACATGTGAAGCACAGGTGAAGCTGCAGGTATATTTATTTACTTTTTGCTACTATATCATGAAGAGCTCGTTTAGATTCGTGTTTAAATAGGTATGTGTTGGAAAGCAAGGTCTTGCAAATAATTTGCAACATTTGTCGTCCTGTAACATCGTAGTGATTTTAGAACTCTTACGACGTTTAAGGTGTGTTCATTTTAGCAGATGATGTTTCTTGTGATTTTAGGTGCTGAAATCAGTTTAACAAATTCGTATTCTGCTTATTTGAGATAATATTTAGAAATGGGACTACTAGCGTTTAAATAGATCCCAGAATTCTACTTTGCTATTTTTATTATAAATTTATACATTTTCCAGAATAATATATAAAACGACAGGAATGTGATACTATGTAAGACTTGCCTATTTTGTGGAACTGTGAACTTTAGATATGGATAAGTTGCAGGCTCTATTCTATAAGATGGCTGGATCATATTTTAATTTTTTGTCATTAATTGTATAGTTTGGTATTGGCTAGTGGGATGAGATGGAAAATGACAATGATAGTGGCATTCACCTCCATCACGTATTCCTGTTATATGCCTTTATGTTTATTTGAGGGGCAACTTTACCTTTCTATCTCCTGGATGTAAGTGACATGTGTTAACCGCTTGAGCGATAGTTCTCAGTTAATTCTGAGATGTGATTTTGATAGACATAACCACTCCCTATTCACCATTTATTGTTGTTTGCTCAGTTACACATACTGTTTTTCATTCTAAGCTAATATTATTATATTTTATACTCATATTTTCCAAGACTCTTTGTATTGTGATTAGCTCTCTGGATGTGTGAAACAATTGCAGGTTGTTTGAACACTAAGTGTGATGGCAGTACAGGAAGCTCGAGGGGGCTGTGCACAGGAGAGCAGTATTGTAAGTAAGATTTTAGGTGTGGCAAGAATATTGAGATTTTAAAAGAATTTCACTTGTATATATCACACCCAAGTTTGTATAGTCATGTTTAAGATCAAGATACTGTAGTTTGAGATTACTATTGGTCTATGTAGGTAGAAGTGAGAGGATAATATTAAATTATCTTAAAGAAATATGTTTAATTTTAAAAATGTGGCTGAACCAGACCTATCTGTAATTTAAGCATAGAAAGGAAAGCCACTGACAAGTAGTGAAAAATGATGTTTGTTAAATATTTTCAACATTTTGTGAAGATAGTTTTTGGGGTACTCTAGATGAAGTGAGAAGTTTAGTGGCTGATTCAGTTGGTATATCCAAGGCTAGCATTTACCACGTAAGAAAAAGAACATATGCAGATGGAAAGTTATGTACACCAATGAAAATGCAGCGAGAAATATCATTAAGAGAGAGAGAGAGAGAGAGAAGAGTAACAGGTTTATGAAAGCCCTTAATCATAAAAAAAACTATTTTTTCAGGTGGAAAATTCCAACCTTGAATAAAATATTAGCTAAAATTAATAGTGATGATTATGTGCCTATTTTTTCTCACATGCTTTTGAAAGTAATGAACTTCATTTATATTATACAAAATTGTCATTGTTTACTCGCCAAGAAGGATGAAATAGTGTTATGAAGGGCTAAAGTTTCTATGCCTAATTAAGAGATTTCTAGAGATGGGATATATATTTAGTAAACAAATGAAATAATCCCATATTTATGACTGTTAAACAAGAGTTATACTTGATTAATCTCATTTGGAATATCAAGGAAGTGAACATGTGGGAATATGAGCCGGGATAGCTCAGTCAGTATAGTGACTAGCTACGGGCTGGACGACCGGGGTTCGATCCCCGACGGGGGCAGAGGATTTTTCCTCTAGCCTCTGTGTCCAGACCGGCTCTAGGGCCCACCCAGCCTCCTATCCAATGGGTACTGGGGTCCTTTCCCAGGGGTAAAGCGCGACTGGGGCGTGATGCTGACCACTCACCCCATCTAGTGCCGAGGTCAAGAAAGAGTAGGAGCTATACCTCCACTCACCCTAAGCGCCTACATGGCGTATAGTGGGACGCTTTACTTTTTTTGAACATGTGGGTATATGGACAGCTTTGTCAAAGGAGCAGTAGAATGCATTGTCATCAGCTTGGCTGATGATACAGATACTGATGACAGCAGTGAAGTTGACATGGAAGGGATAGAATATCTGTCTCCAAGGTAGCAACTAAAAATTTGGTTAATTGCTGCACACTGAAAAGTCGGAATAAAGAGGTTGTAAAGGAATTTGAGGCAGTGTTCAATATTTAGTGTATCGTCCAGGAAGACTGATTCAGCAGATGAAATGCTGTATGACACCATGCATGTTTATATGTTACGTGTCTGCACGACTGTTTTGTGTGACATGACATTCCTTAATATCGGCGCAGTAAATCACTGTAAAATAAGCACTATTATTATTTGCCGAAGATAGAGAAAATTAATTTAATGTGATGTGTGATGATATTTGAAGTATTTTGTTTGATTTTTAGCCATCCCTGGAAGGTGATAAAGCTCTAGAGGCAAGGTTCGAGTGTCCAATCTGCTTGCAGTGTCTCTCAGAGCCTGTGCTGACACCATGTGGACACCGTTTCTGTAATGCTTGTATTCACAAGTGGCTACAGTAAGATATACCTCTCAGAAATACTGTGAAGTTTAATTAGTGCCTTGCATTTTAGTCATCACTATATGTGTGGTATTTGTTGTTACAGGCGTGAGGGTGGGGTGTGTCCTGTGGATAACATGCCTCTCAACGCAGAGAAGGACCTCTTCCCAGACAACTTCACCCGCAGAGAGATTCAGGAGCTGGACGTAAAAAAACCACAGGTCTGTAAGGATTGTCATATCAGAGAAATGATTCTTACAGACAATTTAAAAAATGTATAGCAGAAATATTGAGTTGTGTAGTATATTTGATCCCTCCTTTGTAACTTGTGTTTGCTGTTGTTGATACAGTATGTACATTTGTACAAAAAAAAATGTTTAAATTAGTCTTTCTGCCTGTTTCATTCTTGTGTTTATTAGTTTTTGTTTGGTTTCTTACACTTTAAGCCTGAATTTAATGGTAACACTGCCACGGTGGTCTAGCGGTTAAAACGCTGGGCTTGTAATACTGGGGTCCCGGGTTCGATTCCCGGCGGTGCTCCGATTTAGAACTTGTGTTGCGCGAGGCCGTGGTCTAGGCATCACGGAGTTTTCCTCCGGGGTTTCCCCGTGGCATCCCAACAATTACTCCACTTTCATCATCATCTTGCAAAAAGGAGGTCACAGCAGGAGCGTTAAATGTCACGGTCCTGATCGAACCCACATACTGATGGGTCGTGAATCATGCTAACCACCAATGCACACCATGCTGAATGGTGTCTAGTGGATATGAAAAAAGAATGGCAACACTTAATTATGAAATTGGTAAGAATTGTTTAAGCTCTTTTATTTCTGACTGCGTGGATACTTAGAAAAATTCTGTAGTTTATTCGCAATTTGGTGTAGAGACGCAAAGCAGAAACCATGTCAAGAAGCATACATCATGCAACCTATGAAAATTGTAATTGACTTTTGCAGAATATATATAATAAATCTAGTGCTTAATTCAGAACACAGTAAAAAATTTCATTATTACTGGCGGTACAACATATTCTGTTGTCCAATAATTCTTAAAAGAAATATGTTTTGGATAATTGCACTTTTCTTTTTGTTTTTATACATAGGATGCTGTTTTTCACTACAGAAGTATTCATGCCACCTCAAAGAATGAGTTGCCACATGTTCATATATAACGCATAGGTTATGTTCAGTTCACTTTGGTAAGGTCACTATGCTCGCTTCATGCATAAAGAGGGCTTTGCTGAAAAATGTGCATTGATGAACATTGAGATGGTGCACCAAAAATTATGTTTACAGTTACTAAAGACACTACAGCAAGTCCATGTAACACATTTACTTGTGTAGATATGATCAGAATCTTGATTTACTATGCTACAACTTAAGAAGTGGTGGTCTGTACGATTTATGGCCCAGTCCTTCTGCTGTTTGGTCAAACTGCAGCATGTGCCGTGTGTTGGCTTGATGTCAGTGTCAGCAAGTTGTCTCTGATTACCACAATACAAGTTTATGTCGAAAGTGTGACCTGTCTGTCTCACAGTCTGTAAAGGTTTATTCTGGAGTGTTTGTGTTCTTTGGGGTTACTGCCTGAACACAACTTTTTCCTTGAATAGGAAAGTGATTTAATCTACTGAGTGTTCATTAGGCTTATATACTTCTGAAGGTCTTAAATTTAGATTGTCAGATGCAAAACTCTGCTTTCAAAATCTGTCATAGTTTGGAGAATTTTTATTGGGTGGATCCTCGTTAACTGAAAAAATATAAATGTTTTGGAATATGCAAAGAATGATCATGCACCATTATTTGAGGAAGAAAGGTGTTATATGTTGTATGAAGTTAAGCTTTTGCGGCAAGTGAAGTTGATGAAAGATTCTTGGGCTACAAGCCGCCTCAGGTGGTTGATCAGTGAACAAACCGTGTCTTCTGCCAATGTTTCGAGAATTAAGCCATTGAGATCCGCCTACTTGACAACAACTTCAATAGGGATGATGGTTTCACTCTGAGCTGGTCCTGGTATCCTGTGACTAAACTGCTGTCCGCCCAGAAGGCCAAGTCAGCTAGTGCGAGCACATGACCTCAACTGCCAGTTCCCATTTGCCAGCGTGAAACAAGGCAATAGATAGGCTGCCAGCAATATCATTATTACCTGCCATCCACCGCCAGTTCCCATCAGCTAGTGGGCAACAAAGGAACGGACTGGTTACCCAGCAGCCCTGAGGATGAGAACAGAGATTTTTCTTGAAATGTTGGCAGAAGATACAGTTTGTTCACCGTTCAGCCACCTGACGCGGCTTGTAGCCTGAGAATCTTTCATCTAGTTATATATTGTTTATCCCAGGACCAGTAATCCCTAATAAAGGAGTAAGCCTTGGAAAGAGCCTGTTTGTTCTCTTCCCACTCTTTACTCAGCCCCTCCCCCTCTGATACCTGCTTGGAGACTTTCTGCTGGCCTGGAACTATTTGCTCTTCCCTGATTCTCAGTCAGACTTACAATCGTAAGACAAGACAAAAATAGGATACATTAATTAAAAATACAGCATTGCAGAAACTTGAGAAGAAACCCTAGTCAATACAGGACATTATAGTAGTTTGTAACCGCATAGCACATAGAATTAGCATCAAGGTAAGAGTTGTTCATATGCTGAGCCATAAAGTTAAATTTTGGCATAGGGTGTCAAGTGTTGGACTGTTGCAAATTAAAATTAAATTCACCTTGCAATTTTTAGTCTAGATTACCCAGAATAAATTTATTTGAAATCCTTGTAGTAATTTTTGTGGTGACACATTTGACAGACATACAGATGGGCTGTTCCCCTATATGCACTTTTTATAAAGAAAAAAAAATTCAGTGATTGTTTTGTAGTGCCATTGTTTAAGATTTTTTGGGGTCAGGTTCTGTTAGATCCAGTGCATGCTTTTGTTGCATATCAGCCACAACCCTCATCTTTGACAAAATCAAAACTGTGTGTGGTATGGTCCCTCTTGGCAGTTATCTTTGTTATCGTATGAGCACATCTCATTACTGGAATGAATTTGTCGTAGACTCTTGCCAGGTGGACAGAAACTATAAATGTGGCATTAAGAAATTTGTACTAACTGTCATCATTGGTTCTGCAACCCATGTGGGTCTTGGCTGCCTCTACGGAGGTTTCTCGGTCTTTGAAGTGTGCATTTGTGAGTAGTGAGTGACCAGCCCACTGCCTCTGCACAATTTCTACTCAATCCCAATTTGACTGCCAGAGCCATCTAGCAGTCAATCGGGAAACTTGGGTGAGAAATGGCTGCTGAATTTTGCTTACGAAACATCTTGTTCATGCTCGTAAGGTTCTTTTATATGCCGTAAATCTACGACATGGGACCGCCGGCTTTACTTCCCCTCCGAAGGAACTTGTGCTATGGATTTTTATCATCCTTAAAAATCCATCGACCTCGGCCTGGTTTGAACCTGCGAACCTTGAGTCCAGTGGCGAGCACGCTAACCACTAGTCCGCCAAGGGCAACGTGATACTAACTATAGATGGAGATTATCTGGTTTGTTGTGCCATGTAGTAGTTAGGGGCTGAAGTGAGGAGTGTTAGGATGGGGGTGGTTTATATAGGTTTAGGTAAAGAATCAGTTCAGATGGATTAAGCAAAGTTTTGGGTTAATGAAGGGCTAACAATTTGCACTTAAATTTCACAACCACTTGAAAACATGAAACCAAAAATATTTTGTGTAAATACCTTGCAGAGATGTCACCATACAAAACTTATTTATGTGACATTTAGTGGCTGAAGTTTCATTAATTTCACAAGTTTTTGCAAGCTCCATTCTAGTATTGATGGCAGAGGGTTAGAAAATACCATCTGTGGAGGCAAGGTCTCCAGTGACATGCTTCATGTAAATTTTCACGAAAACCAGTAAAAGTTTGTGTTACGGATGTTACTAAATCGGGTGCTTGCTGGTATTGTTCTACAGCTCCATTTTGGTGTGTCTCACATTTCTTTCCACAAAATCTTGTGGACGAACAGAGACACTCAAGGCACTGATGTTTGCTTTATTTACTTGTTGTTTGAGTCCACAGAAAGGACAAGACTTGGGTTCACAGATGGTTGACTGCAGTTTCCGAGAAGTTGGCTGTCTGGCGTCGGTGCACCCAGATGAGCTGGTAACACACCTTGACACACAGATACACTACCACACGAGTGTAAGTTTGTCTCTGTGCCTTACCAGCATTTCTCCCATGACGGTATTTTAATAAGGTTATGAGATGGGTGTTTTTATGTGATGTTCATAGCAAGATCATAAATCACAAACTTTGTAATTGACATGTTCTGTTTTGTTTTATCAGATTTTAATTAAATATTGTCTTTGTGATGATGAATATACACAGAATGTTTATACTGTCTAAAGGGAACCAAATTTTTTTTTTATTTGTGTTAAGAAGAAATTAGATACAAATGAAAACAATTAGAAAACTGGAATTCAGCAGACCTTAGAAAATTTACTTAGTATGTTACACCTCAGAACACTCATCCACACACAAGGCTACTTCACATTGGGACAATGGTGAACTTTTTATAAATTTTTTCACATATTTTATGCACATGACATACCAATTTGTTAGTTTTGGCATCGTGTTTGTTGGCAATATTCTTGTTACTTTGTCGTCCTTACTATGTCATCATCTGTACAGGGACTTATAATTGGGCAGTAGCTCAGTTATTAATGATAAGGCTACTTGATGATTTCTGTCTTCTGGGTTGTTGCGCTGTGTAGTCTGGTCGATGTTAACCAACGTTTCAGAGGTCATACTGCCTCCGTCATCAGGGCATCGCAACGTTGGTAAACATCAACCAGACTACACAGCGTAACAACCCAGAAGACAGAAATCTTCATACTCACCGCTGTGAAAACCTCAGATCTTACATAAGGCTACTTGTTTAGGAAAGATTAAGTTTAACGTGAACAGTTATAGGTGATTGGTTGACTGCATGTGTAAGTCACCGGTAGTTTCAACATTTTGAAACATGGAGAAAGTTGAGTGAAATTAGTGAGGGTGGTTGGGTAAAACTGTTCCGGCCAATTTGTGAAGTTCCTTTTTCTTTGTTGGAGTCGGGCAGCAGTTTAAGAAACCACACATGAACTGTAAGAAATGGAACCGTGATTCAAAATATATCAGTGTTTCTGCCATTATGTAGGAAGTACACAAGCACAGTGAAGCCCCAATTTAAGGTTTGCCTAGGGATAAAACATTTTGTACGTTAAATTGAGAAAAACCTTAAAAGAGGGTTACATCAGAATGAAATAGAAAACAACTCCTTTGGTTATAAAACTACTTGCAAAATGTAGGACTTGCATATGATTAAAATTTACATATCCAAGTTTACATTGGGTTCACAAAGCACAACCTTTCAATTACATTCAACTCGCAAGAATCCCTCATATCAGGCCACATCTTTACCAAGAAATGATGGTAGGGAAGAAAGTGACTTTGGCAGTCAGTAAGGAAGGGACTTCACTTATTTCTAATGGGGTTCAAACTCAGTGGTGGTGATGGCAAGATCTTGCATGGTCTTCCTCAGTCTAGGCAAATTCTGGGACAGAACCTTAAAATATGCCAGGACTACTTCTGCATTCTTTCAAATTCATCTCATAGTCATTTTACCATTTGACAATACACCGTGTTTCAAAAGTAGCTTTACAACTTTGCAGGAGAATATAAATTTATTTAAAGGACGTGCGCAATATTCTTAAATGCACAAATTTAGCCAAACACATCAAGTTTCATGCACATAAACTGTAGTACCGAAAACCGCCACGAAAGCACGTTCCATGTCACTGGTAAGGTCAACGCCCACAACTGCAGGATTTGGGTTAGTGAAAATCCACATGCCTTCCTGGAACATGTTTGTGACAGTCCAAAAGTTAATGTATTTTGCGCCCTCAGCAAAGATAAAGTGTACGGCCCCTTTTTTTCATGGAGAAGACCGTTACCGGCGTTGTGTATCTGGACATGCTCCAACAGTTCCTCATTCCACAACTTGACAAAGATGACCAGGAAGGACGCATTCACTTCCAGCAAGACGGTGCACCCCCTCATTACCTCGGAGAAGTGCGCGAGTACCTCAACAACCGTTTCCCAGGTCGGTGGATTGGTCGGGCCGCACCAATAGCATGGCCACCTCGTTCCCCGGATCCAACACCTTTAGATTTTTTTCTAGTGGAGATTTGTTAAAGGTCAAGTGTATGTGCCACCCTTACCTGCAAATGTGGCCGAACTCCGAACTTGAATTACCGCCGCAGTTGCTGAAGTGACACCGAAGATGCTACACCGCATGTGGCAAGATATTGACTACAGATGGGACGTCTGCCGCATAACAAATGGAAGTCACATTGAACCATAAAAATCCGATGGACATAAAACTTGAAGTGTTTGACTACATTTCTATGTTCTGAAATTATATTTATCTCCTATCAGTTCACCAGTATCTCGCTCTCAAGTTGTAAAGCTACTTTTGAAACACGCTGTATATAGGCACAAACTATTGAGTTTAAAAAGGATTGTTTAATAAACAAAAAGGAAATATTTTATTTGTTATATACTTGTGCTTATGGGCATATGTTTGGTTGTTTTATTGCAGCTACTGAATGCAGCGTATAGCAAGTTGCAGGTCTCCATGCAGGAGAAGAAGGTGGATGCAAAGGCACAGGAAGCTAGCAACCTTTGGGAGCCCGACAGCAAGGGGCACATGAATGGGGTAAGTACATCAGTGCTATGACCAGGTGCCAGGACAGCATATTTTCTAAAAAAAATATCTTGGTATCACAAATTTTCTGGTGTATTTTTGTAAATTTTTTGTATTTTTATGTGTGGAATTTTTTTAAAATTCGTATCATATAGTTCTGATATTGTGTACAACAGTATCAGAATCATTAATGAAGTCTTCTCGGGCTATCAGCTGTGTTAGTTGGTGATCGATCGCCGACGTTTTGAGGACCATCTCTGTCCACATTTTCAAGGCTGTTGACTGTGACTCGTAGCGCGAACTAGTTTAAATGTCCAAGACTCGTGCAAGTATCCGAGCGGCGTTTGGTGGGGGAGTGTGGAATGTGTGGCGGGGTGTTGTCTTTGTACTGCTGGAACTCTAGGTTGCTGGAGTAAGTTGATTACCGGATCCCATGATCACCCAAGTGTGAAGCCTCCTTCTCTGTTGAAGTTACTTGGGTGGAGCTTGATCTCGACAGCCTCATTTATTTTGCGGTCCATATATCCTGTTGTCTTCTCGAGGACCATGGTGTTGACAAAATCGATGTTATGTCCTGTCTCAAATCTGTGTTCCGCCACCGCAGACTTCTCTGGCTGGAGTAAAAGGCATATACGGTTAGTTAGGTTATGGGCCTGATGACCTGGGCTCAATTCCTGGCAGGGCAGTATTTTCTCTTTGTTCCAACAAGACTAGAGCTCTGTGGCTACTCAGCCTTCTATTTAATGGTTCTGGTGTTCTTTCCTCATGAGTGAAGTTTTAGGGGCATAATGCTTACCATTTACCACCTTTCTGTGCTGAGGTTAAGCATTCATGGAGCCATACCTCCAGCCTTACATGTTGTGGCATCGTGGTTAGTCAAACACCAAGAACAACTTTACCTTTACCTGTCGACCGTACAGAAGTGCTTTCTAGCGTGTGCTAGTTTGTGATTATCCTGTAGAGGTGAACTGAGCTGTTGCTTTGTGTAATATTTTGGCTGTGAGCCAACTTTTCGGAGGAACATTTGTATGGTTTTGGTATTAAAATCCATTACTTTGAAAGCAGCCATGTCTGTGTTTTCAGGATGTTCAGCAGTCTTGGCAGGGACTGTTGCGATCACTGTATGAGCGCATCGTGGTGCTGGAGCAGAGGAACCGAGAGCAGGACATCCAACTTGAAAACATGAAACGACAGCTGTTTGCCAACATTGACCAGGTTTCGCAGGACCTTGCTTTGCGGTACTGCAATGGCACTTACTTGTGGACAGTGACGCAGATCTCAAAGAAGTTGGTGTCCATGGCAACCAATCCCACACGCTCAATGTTCTACAGCCCAGGGTTTTACACTGCCCCTAATGGATACAGGTATGAACTTCGTTACTTCGACAGTCATTCAAGTAATTGACTGTGCTGTGTGAGTAACAAGGTGAAACTTGTTACAATGCTTTCACACTTAAAGGAATTTTGAATTGACATGATGTAAAATAAGGGATGCTTTATCCCTGGTGGTTTTTATCGTACATTAGTTTTCTGATTTGCATGAAATGAAAAATTATGATGTATGCATGTCTCATATATGGAACTACTGAACAGATTTTGATGAAAATTGGTAATGGTGATGCATACTAAATATTGTTTTTAGTAAATTATATTTTGGCAAATGAAATTTCAGTGTGCTCTGGGTATGGACAAGTGGCTGGTGCCCGTATTTGGTGATGAACTTTCAGGTTCCCAAAATGGTTGAGCGACTGTTAGTTTATCAAGAAAGTCTTTACTCCATGGAGTTAGTTTTATGGTATTAGTTAGTGCAGTTCTTTATAACTTATACTTTACATGAAGCTCAAATTGAAGTTTTAATTTTCACAAAGAGTTGCTCATCATACAAGAAATTGATATACAGAGAGTCCCAAAAATATATATACACGGCAGCTACTTTGGTGGCTGCTTGTCAGTGAGTTGCTCACTGCTGTTAATTGTGTCATGAAGCTAACAGTGGTCATTTTGAACATCTACAGTACATTTTCTAATTCACTAAGTGCCAATGCTGACATGTAATTCTGGGATACTGGTTACTGGGAACGACCCGTTGTTCAAGCACTTGAGCACTGCCGGTCCCAACTTTCGTTGTCTTGATTTATAGACATTCGATAGGACTCATTGGACGAGGGATCGGCCCATCGCAAGGCCTCTACCTGTACACAGGACAGCACAACACAGAAAAACGGGGACAAACATCCATGGCTTGAATGGGATTCGAACCCACGGTCCCAGTGACCACGCGGCAATTTCATTAATGAGTGTGTGTATACATCTTTTTGGTACACCTTGTGTCAGTGAGGGCCCCCATGTGGAAATTTACTGATATAAACTCTTTGAGATAAGCTTAATCTTTAAATGTTGCTATTTAAATTCTTGGCGTACTCTTTCGTTTAATATGTCATCTGGTATAAATTAAGACTTATTTTTAATTTACAACCCGATATAAAGACAAATAGATCTGAATAGCTCAGTCAGTATAGTGACTGATTATGTGTTGGATGGTCGGGGTTTGGTACCTGACAGGGGCAGAGGATTTTCTGCATCCAGACTAGCTCTGGGGCCCACCCAGCCTCCTGTCTAATGGCTACCTGGGATCCTCTCCCTGGGGGTAAAGCACGGCCGGGGTGTGATGCTGACCATTCACCCCCATCTAGTTTTGAGGTTGAGAAAAGTAGGCATTTTCCTCTTCCCCCCTGAACACCTACATGACACATAGTGGGACACCTTTTGCATATGTAGACAATTAAATTAGTTACATCCCGTGTTTTATTAAACAGTTTATGTTGTGTGAACCTAATGCAACAGATGGATATGCTCACTGACTGAGATGAGGTAAGTCAGACGCAACTTTGGTCAGGCGCGCGAGGACCATGCCTCGGACCGCGTGGCCACTGCTGCCGGCTTTGCGCAGATACGTGGATGGAAGTGGAAGTATCTTTTTCACAGTTACACATGCTTGAATATGTGGAAATTCATATGGCAGTCGGATGAATGTTTATGTATATACGAGGGGCGTATACAAATGATTTAGACTAACCTGAATTATGTGATCTTTGATGGTGGTGGCGTCACTATCGGGGAGTCGGTGACCACGCAGGGGATCAGTTCCGACACTCTTTGAATCATTTGTGGAGCTCTTGATGTTCTGGGATGACCGCTGCTGGATCCCTTTTTCACTGTTTCGTTGTCACATGCGAAGCCTGTCACCCAATTGAACACAGTTGCACGTGCAGTCACTGGGGTTCACCATGCTCCCACACCCGCCCTATTCCCCCGACCTGGCACCAAGTGACTATGCCCTCTTCCGTGAGATGAAGAATCCCCTGTGTGGTCACCGATTCCCCGATAGTGACGCCTTACATGATGCTGTCAGGGAGTGGGTACGAGACACCCCCAAACAATAGTTGCGTGAGGCAATACGGAAATTGCCAGAGAGATGGCAACGGTGCATCAACCTCCAGGGAGAATATGTGGAACGGGCCAAAGTGTAAACTGGGAGCCACCACCATCAAGGATCACATAATTCAGGTTAATCTAAATCATTTGTATACGCCCCTCGTAACTTTCAGACTCAGGTCTATTGAAATATCACTTAATTCCACATTGCTCTCATCACCTGGGGCTTTGAAGTTACCCGCCCATGGGCGGATGGTTTTGAATAAGTTTTGAAAAGGAAAATACTGTACATGGACATAACGACAGTGAAACTGTGACAGTATGTGATGTGATGTGATGTGATTTGTGTAGTTAAGTGATCTTGTCTATCTGTGCACCAAAAGTTATTTTATGGAAGTAATTTTGGTTTGTGTTATTGCAATGTAACATCCGTTGGAAGTTTACTGATGTTTCAGAAGTGTTTACTGCCTTCGTCATCATAAGGGCTGGCAGCAAGCACATCTGAAATGTAGGTAACGTCTACCAGACTACGTGGTACAATAACCCAACAGACAGACATCCTAAAAAATGTCAGTGTTCATTGTCCACGCAAAGAACTATAAAGAGGTGAAGTATAATTTTACAGTGAAATGTCATTGTAACGAAATCATGAGGGTGACGAAATGATATTCCAAAGAACAAAATTTAGTTACATTTAAACACATTAGAAAAGTCAGAATGATTGTTAGTTCGTCTTCTTCTACTATGGCTCTCCGGTCCGTATTCGGTCCATGGCCTCCTCAATTCTCCTCTTCCGTTAGGTCCTCTGTTAGGTCCGTCTGTCCGAGGCTTTGATCGAGGTTTCGAAACATCTTCCTTTTTACGGTGCAAGGTTGTTAGCATTGCGACCAACACCCAACCTGGAGGAACAGGGTACCTGTCTTAGTCTGACCTCTCCCTAGGGAGGCCCTACCAGTAGCTATGCTACTGCCAACATAGCTCTTGGGATCACTGAGGTACTCAAGCCCCACCACCAGGACAAGGTGCAGGTACCATTAAGTGAGGTGATTGTTAGTTACATATAAAAAACTGAAAGAGACAAACTTACTGTGTTTACTTAGTAAAAAAAAGCCCGAATATTTTTTCTGCACATCCATTTTTACTAGAAATTCAACGTAAATTGCGATTAATGAGCTGGTGGTCTAGTGGTTAGTGTGTTTGCCACTGGACCTCAAGGTTCGCGGGTTCAAACCTGGCTGAGTTCGATGGATTTTTAAGGGTGATAAAAATCCGTAGCATAATATCCGTTGGAGGGGAAGTAAAGCCGGCGGTCCCATGTTGTAGATTTACGGCATGTAAAAGAACTATTTTAACATGAACGAGATGTTTCGTAAGCAAAATTCAGCGGCCCTTTGTCACCCATGTGTGTACTAGATAGCTCTAGCAGTCGTCAGGAAAGATTGAGCTGGTGGATGTGGTTATGTACCGTACATTTTTAGTTTTTTTAAATTGCTTGCAGTTATTGTGAAGTTAATTTCCTCTGTTATTCTTGTAATGCAGTTGATACTAATTTCTATAACTAACAGCTAAATACACAAATAATCCACAGGATAATTAAATGAGTTTAGAATGCGAACGAGAGTTTTTATTTCAGTTGAATCGAAACGCTCGGAGATTGATCGTATCGATACACGGTGTCGTTCGACTCTAATCGGGCAGTGAAAACGCGCCATTTGTGCTAGAGTCAAATCGAAACGCAAGCCAGTTGATCACGTCTAAACACGGTTTCAGTTTTGGCTGTGCGGCTAGTTTAGCGATTGACTAAGTGACGGTGTACCGCGGTAGCAAGTAGGGTGGAATGCGTTTCTTGGGTTACGGTTGAGACGGGGATGTTTTTTTTATTCATGGGGTTTCTCCCATGAAACACCATGGCCGAGACCACTGTGTACGTTCTTGTGCTTTTCCGTAATGAACATTTCTTTGCGATACTTTCTCTTCCGCCCCGTCTCTGTCTCGCATATGCCTAGGCGAATTTTTTAAACTTTGCGTCACATTGCTTAATGATTTTAATTTTACAAATTTCGTTTTCAGATTACATTTTTTCGTAGGGTGATGGATTTTCGTTACAGTGGTATTCGTTAAAGTGAAACATTTTTACATAAATATGTGCATTAAATTGGTGGGGTGCCAGAAGAAAAATCCGTTTTACCAAATATTTCGTTATGTGCCAGCTTTCGTTAAAATGACATTTCACTGTATGATATTAAAATTACTGTATATAAGTGTATTTGTGTTATGCAGCAGTGAAATACTTATATAAAAAGTGTTACCAAGTTATACTATCACAGTGTTTATGTGTACAGGTTTTGTGCGCGGTTGAATCTTTCTCCAAATGACCATTCTCACATCGCCCTTCACATACACCTCATGCGGACAGGTCACGATGATTCTCTTTCTTGGCCGTTCACTGGACGTATCACTTTTATGCTTGTGAATGCCACGGACTCTAGTCGACATATTTGTGACACGGTGATGTCACGTCCAGAACTACATGCTTTTAAGCGTCCGCTGAGGGACATGAACCTACTTGGATTCGGATATACCGAGTTTGTGTCTGTGCATGATCTGTTAATATCTACTCAGGGATTTGTGACTCCTGATGACAGCATTCTGATCAAACTGCATATTCTCAGTGTATGACGTGGAAAGTGTATGGCCTGGTTTCTTTTCAGGTCAGTATTCTTTATTTTATTGTTTGATAGTTTGAAGAACCTGCATGTGAGGGATAGTCAGTGCCCTTGGAAACTAAAGATTTTATTTAATTCATATGCCAGTATGGTGCCTTTATATCCCTTCATATACAGCTGCTCTATTGGTTTAGTTTTTATTTTAACACATGAAAACAAGTTACTGACAGTAATGTCTTTACAAAGGTTATTGCATGCCTTGTTGAATAAGAGACACACTGCAGGTTTGTAGTGATATTGGCATGTATAAAGACAACTTTTCAAAGCTTATTGCTGTTACAACGTAAAGTACGATGATAATGAATTGAAAGAGTAAGATGTTATTCTGATAGTTCATTGTGACTGACTTGTGGGTTGTAGTGTCTTTTACTCTCATAATGGAAGTAGCAGTAACCTATGAAATGTTAGTAAACTTATACCACACTACACAGTGCTACAATCCAGAAGGTAGCAATTTTCTAGGTCAGAAATCGTCCAACCAGAAATATTTGCCAGTGCTATGGTTTCTGACAGACCTTGAAACATATGGGTTTTAACCCTACAATACATGATTTTTGTTTTTGTTTTAAATGAAAATAGTATTTTTAAGCAGTTGTGCAGGACTGTGATCCATGAAAAAATAATACAAAAAGTTTCAGTGTGATTTTATATTTTTATTGAATTATTAATTTTTGCTAAAAGGGTACACTGTGCACTGGGATCAAGTTCAGTCTGTATTTCTATTTTATTACTCATTTTTTTATTTAGAGTATAATGATTTTTTCTATAGCAAGCTGACGTGCCATAAAATATCCGCTTCAAGCCATAAAACTGCGAATTCACTTATCTATAGAAATGGAAATCAAACTCAACATTTCAAACATGAAATAATAAATCAAACTGTCGTAAAACAAAGCAAATATCTGTAACAGTGATGATGATAATATTATATAAAAAGTAAATATTTTACTCCAATTTTAAGTACTCAGTCGTGGTGGTCTGTGAAACAACTGGAATTCTTCAATTTCTTGTGTGAACGTGTTTGTAGTGTTTGCCACTTTTCTTCAGACAGAGTGGAATATCACACATTTCACTGTATGCGGTGTGAATTCTTTGCAACCGAGATACATCTTTGCTTTTTGTCTAGCAGGTCAGGCAAGTGGTCAGTTGAATCAAATTGATTGCAGGTCTTTGCAGTTAGCATTCTTTCAAGATCATCATTACTCGGTCACCCTCTCTTCCCCATCAGTTGATGAACTAACACAGAGTTTTGTCCAGTTGAATTGAAATGATAGAGTTTCAGGCTACAATTTTCGAGAGCTCTATCTCGAACAGTTTATATCTCTAAATCATGGCAGTAGCATGACATTCCACTTAAAAACATTTTTAGCTGTACCTAGGTGTGAAATAAGTAAACATACAACTTTTAACACCATAAAAAAGACACTTGCCATACGCGTTTCAACCTCAAGAGGTCATCATCAGTGGCCTCAGGGAAATTAATACATTTAACCAAAATGGTTTAGAAAACAAATAATGAAGTAGAGTATTTTACAAAAGCATATCAAGCAACACTACACTGGATGTTGGTATTCACAGGAGTTGAACTCTGCACTTAGCTATTGATCTGAATAACATCTAGTGCAGTGTCGCTTGAAATACTTTTGTTAAATACCCTATTCATTATTTATTTCTAAACCATTTGTTTAAATGAATTAATTTCCCTGAGGCCACTGATGATGACCTCTTGAGGTTGAAACGTGTATGGCAAGTGTCTTTTTTATGGTGTTAAAAGTTGTATGTTTGCTTATTTTATATCTAATACACTACACAGTATGCAAATTTTACGTACCTAGGTGGTTTGTGAGGTATGTGCTGCTTCGGGCCACGTCTTGCTTTGATAGCACTTATCTGTACATCAGTGCTTAGCCTTTCTTTCATTGGTATGGTACCAAACTTTGATTTACGTAGCTTAGATACATGATGTAATTGATATAGCTCAGTGTTGTGCAACCTTTCTACACCAGTGGCGCGCTAAATATTGTCAAAATGCCATGGCGGCACACCGACCCCATTTTATGTATTCTGTGTGTATGGCATTGACTGGCTGCGACAACTTCTTACAAATTGACCCCAACTGAAAAATGTTCTATTTGTTCTTAATTATATATCTTTATTATTGTCACTTACTTTAAATATATTCATTATTTGAAATAAACTAAAATATATTTATACATATTGTTTAATCATTAAAACTTAAAGATACTTTGTCATATTTTTATATCTAGATTATATGTAATTATTTAACAATATCTAAATCACTTTCCCGTGACCCAAAAATCCTGCTGCATATGAAATATTTTTATGGAATATGACCGTCATTTACAAGAACTGGATGTGAGCAGAGAAAATTTTTAAATTTAAAATGAAGCTAAACATCTTGCTATGTGGGTCCCAATTACTTTTGCCTCTCTTTGCAGAAAAATACATAGAGTAGAAATAAAAGTAGATCTAGTCTGCCCGACCATAATGAAGAAAATTAAAACTGAGACAGATCAGAAAACAAGATAAACTGTCTCATTATGCCACGGAACACCGGTTGTGCGTCACTGATATAGCTGGTCGTGATTTGTTATACTGGAATTGTCGTGAAGATGGAGGTGTTTCCTTATTTTCTCAAAACGATGCAGGCTCTTTGTTTCAATTGCTGTAGATACACCAGCTTCACTATTTAAAATGTGTCTCACCTTTTTCATAGGGACTGCAGAGGCAATTTTACAGACCCCTAAGTACTTTTACGTCTTATACAGTGGCTTGAAATGGCTTATTTGGGTTCATTACAATGTTATAAAGTGTGATCTGTTCTGTTGTTCTCATTGATAAATTAAGCAAATGAGAGAAAAATGTGTATGGATTTTTCAATTCTGTGACTTCATGAGGCAGGGAAGTGTTTCTCTTTGAAATATTTTATTTGCAGTTCCACTGACACTAAATTCTTCCACAACAAATGTTTCTTATTCCTCCCATTATCTTTGTGTAAATCTGGGGAACATGCACATTTAGCAGTATCTGGTAATGCATTAGGAACTGATAAATTTTATACCTGTTTGTGAGGTGTTTCTGCAGGCTGATACCAGTTTTATGTTTATTCTTTCAGAGGGCATGATTGTAAAGAGAATGTCTTCCTGAGTTAGAAATTTGAAATTACCCTTTCCTACATTTTTAGTTAATCATTGCATTCAGACTTTCTTCATTTCTTTCAGCTACGGAATCACGGTCCGTGGCTGTAATAATAAATGTAGACCAACCTGAGGCTGCTTAAACGTCTATTCCTGGTTCAGAGCTTTACGTCTTTATACCATGTTTAGCACAGAAATGCACTTAGTCTGTCCATGATTTGTGTTTGTCCTGATACTTATACTACCCTTTAATTTTCATTTCAGAAGTGTTTATTTCTGACTTGCGCATAGATATTTATTTTTGTAGATCGGTATTATTATTATTATTATTAAGTGTTCTGTCTTACGACAGGTCCATTGCTCTGCCCAAAAAGAGCTCTCCAGTTTTCCCTATTCTCGGCTTCTCGCTTTAATTCCTGGAACGTCATCTTCTTTCCTTGTTTAAGGTCGTCGGTTAGCTGTATCAATCTTCTTCCCAGTCCTCGCTTTCCTTCAACCTGGCCTTCGATGATATCACTCATTAATCCATTCCTTCTCATAATATGTCCCAGCCAGTTAGCTTTCCTTCGTGGATGTTTCTTTGCTCGTTGACTCTCCTCAATACTTCTTCGTTGGTCACTCGATCCGTCCACCTGATCTTCTCTATTCTTCTCCAACACCACATTTCGAAACTCTCCAGGTATTTCTGTTCGGTATACAGAATGATATTTTGTCACCTGACATTTTAAAAATTTACGACAACACTGAAGTGAGTCTCGAGATGACGTTGTGTGTGAATGATCAGAGTGTTTTTTGTAGGAACATTTTGTTCTTTTGACAAGTGTTGTGATGCTGTTTATTGAAAATGTTGAGAGTTTCCTGCCCATAATATACCAACTGCAGACGTACTTTCCCAGCTTGTCAGACACATTTAACAGGAATTGTTTGAAATGTGCAAAGGGAATCATGCGTGTTATTGACTTTTATTCTATGGGAATAGGGAATTAAATCCGCATACTATGAGGCTGCTGGCTGAGTGAACAGTCTAGTAGAAAACTAGTCTGACTTACAACCAGCTTAATTGTGCGTAAGCCATAGCACATGGGCAACTTGGGTTAAGTGATAATATAGTCGCTTCTCTCCTCCTAAAAATCTGCTGGCGCATTCTGACAGAAGAATTAGCGATTTATTGATGTGTAGTGGTCTCATAGAATAATCTGACAATTTAGCGAACATGAGGAGGATGGGAAGTGTGTGCAATATCTTGGTCAGGGATCAGTAAGGGGAGAGACAGCTTGGAAGATGTAAATGTATCTAGGATGATACAGATCTTAAGGATAAGGTTGGGATGTTGACAGGATTCGTCTGGCTCAGAGAAGGGTCTGTTGGTAGGTTTTTGCGAACGCAATGACGAGGTTCCGTAAATGAAGGAAATTTCTTGACTAACTGAGCAACTGTAATTGCTCAAAATGACGAGGTTCCGTAAATGAAGGAAATCTCTTGACTAACTGAGCGACTATAACTGCTCAAGGAAAATTGTTGCAGGGAGTTAAGAAGTGAATGAATTGGATTCAATGTGTACTTTAATTAAGCTTCCTGAAACCCAAAACTAGAATTTGATTTTGTACTAAAGAATGTCTGTACTGTACAGCTGTTTATCCCATGCCATGAAGGAATGAAATCCATGCATTTTAATCCTAAGAGATAGAGGGAGGTAGCAGTCAGCTTCATGTTTAATTTATTCTTTGTTCAGGAAGAGATCCTGCCGGTTGAGAAGTTTGTGTGCTCCAAACCTGTTCTGAATACAGAGAAAGACCCATACTGGGAATTGAACCACGGTTATCCAATTAATAGCCACTTATTTCAGTGTTTGGGTTATCTTGGTTTATAATTGTGCACCAGCATCATTTCGTAACTATTAGATGAGTGTGGCTGATTGTCTCCACTTAGCCTCGGAGGCAGACGGTTTTCATACTTAACCTGGAAATGCGTTAGTTTAAAATTAAAATGCTTCAAGTTTAATTAGCAATTGATTTACAGTTTAGAGCATAAGCATTACTGTGAAGAGTCGGGAATTATTAAGGAAGAACGTAGATCCGTTTAGCTTTTGTGCAAAATTAGTAAGTCAATATGTTGGCCATGGAAAGTATTCTTATTGTGTCTCGTGAATGTGTGTAGGTCTGCAGCTTTTATATGAAATACTTTGTGTGGGTCTGTGGGAGGAGTGGGGGTAGCCTTAGAATCTTCAAACCTGACATCTTTCAGTAGGCCTGCTTGAAATTATGCGTAATCATAGGCTATATTAAAATATATCTTCTCTTTGAACTCATGTTAATTAGGCTTATTAAGCCAGAATTCTTTAACTCTCTTCCAAGAACGTCTTTCCACCTTTTCGTACTATTACCTCTGTTTCATTTTCCGACTGAGTGGCGTTTAAGTGCTAATTTTGGTAGTATGTCTTCTTGCATCCTTTCAAAGCGCTCTTTCCGCAGTTTCTGGTTTCTCGTATTTGAATTTCTTGTTCTGTGTTTTGTACTTTCAATATTTCTTTACGTCTAATTTTGTATATCCTAGTAATGGCCTTAAGAATATCATCTGCGCTGCTTCCAAACATTGTTTCTCTCTTTTATTTAACATCCATGTGTCACTTCCATTTTTGAGAGATGTTTTCAGTTTTTTTATTAGACATTTATTTACGTTAAATTATGTAATCATTAATATTCAAGTAGACGAAAATGTTCAACTAACTACATGTAGGCCTGTCGTGGTGGGTAGTCGTATTCAGTGAGAACTTACATTACCGTGACC